CTTTTTCCAGTTCTTTAAGGTGGGACATTAGGTTGTTTCTTTGAGTTATTTTTTTGTTTCTTTATGTGAGCCTATATTGCTATGTATTTTCCTCTTATAACTGCTTTTAATGTGTCCGATAAGTTTTGGAGATTTGTGTCGTCATTGTTGTTCTTCTCCAGTATTTTATAATTTCTTCTTTGATCTCTTCATTGACCCAATGTTCCTCCAGTAGTGTGGGTTTCAGTCTCCACGTGGCAGGTGGGTTTCTTGTCTTCCTCAGATGGTTTATTTCTGGTTTGATTCCTTCATGGTCAGAGAAAATAGTTGGTATGATTTTGATCTCAGTGTATCTATTGTTATTTATCTTGTGACCCAGTATGTGGTCAATCCTAGAGAATGATCCATGTGGATTTGAGAAAAATGTGTACTCAGATTTTTGGGGGCGCAGTATTCTATAAATGTCTGTTAGACCCATGTTGTCCAGGTCCTTGTTCAGCGCTTCAGTGTCTTTGCTTATTTTTTGTCTTATTGATCTGTCCATTGTGGAGAGTGTCATGTTGAAGTCTTCTACTATGTATGTATTTTCTCTGATAAACGTTTTCATAGATGACAGGAGTTTCCTGATATATTTTGGTGCTCCTTCATTTGGTGCAGATATGTTGATGATTGTAATGTCTTCTTGTATTGCCCCCTTAATCTTAATGTAGTGGCCTTCTGTGTCTCTTTTAACCTTTTTAAATTTGAAGTCTGTTTTATCTGATATAAATATAGCTGTTCCTGCCTTCTTTTTTGGTTCATTTGCTTGTAGAATTGTAGACTCCTTTTATTTTCAATCTGTTTTTATCTTTTGCAGTTAGATGTGTTTCCTGTAGACAGCAGAACATTGGGATCTGTTTTTTAACCCATCCTGCAACTCTGTGTCTTTTTATTGATGAGTTTAAGCCATTTGCATTTAGAGGTAATATTGATATACTGGCACCTACATTTGCCATTTTGGCTCTTTTGTCTTTTCATTCCTTGTTTTGAACTGTTCTTGTTCATTCTTCTGTTGGATTTGTTTTGAGAGCTTCTTGTAGTATTTTTTGGAGTGAGGGTTCAGTCATGACAAAATTGTGGAGTTGTCTGAAAATGGCCTTATTCTTTCTTCATAGAAGAATGATAGAGGATAGAGTATTCTTCTCAGGATAGAGTATTCTTGGTTGGCATTTAGTGCTTTGGAGTTTGTTGAGTATGTCGCTCCACTCTCTTGCCCGTAGTGTTTCTTCGGAGAAGTCTCATGTCTGCCTGATCGGTTTCCCTTTATAGGTTATTTGTTTCTTCCCTCTTGTCATTCTCATTATCTTTTCCATGTCTTGTATTCTTGGTAGTTGTACTATGATGTGTCTTGCTGTATTTCTCCTATCATCATGGTAGTTTGGTGTTCGTCTTGCTTCTTAGATATCTACTTTCATCTTCTTCATATTAGGGCAGTTCTCTTCCATTATCTCTGTGAATATTTTCTCGATCCCTTGGCCTTTCTCTTCACCTTATGGGATACCTAAAACTGTGATATTTCCTTTCCTAATAGTGTCAGATAGCTCTTGAAGTGTTTCTCCATTCCTTTTCCTTTTTATTTCTCTTTCTTTTTCTGTTTTAATTCTCTTTATTTCTGCATCTTCGAGGGAGCTGATTCATTCTTCCATTTTAACTATTCTGTTTCATTACTTTTCCCAGCATTCTTTATCTCCCCTAGTGGCCTTTTCATCGCCTGCATTTTTTCTATTTATTTTTTTAATGTCTCATTTTCTTTCTTCAGTCATTGATTGCTTGTCTCTTATTGTTATTTTCTTTTTTCATTTCTCTCATTCATTTCCTTGTTTGCATTCTTCAAATCGTTGATGGCTTGCCTCATATCATTTTTTTCCTTTCCATCTTCTTTTTTGTTTGTTTATCATATCATGATGATTCTGAATTCTTTATCTGATAGGCTGAGCAGTTCTTCTGTTTCTTTGATAGTTTCTGGTGACTGATCTTTTTGTGGTGAATTTTCCCTCTGTGGACTTGCTTGAATATTTGTTTGTCTTGTTTTCCCTGTCATGTATTTTCTAATACTTTCTATTTGTTTAGACACAGTGTTGCTATTATTGACCAGCATTCTTTCTGGGTGTTCTTTCTGGGATGGCAGAAGGACATCCAGACACTTCAGTTGTGGATGGTATTCTGAGCCTTGTTTTGTTTCAATATCTCCTGTTTTCCCAGCCCCCACTGTGTGGAATTATATCTGTCATCTCTGCCAGTGACAATCAGGGGTCTTTTGTGGTGTTCAGCTTTTTCTGGTAACATGTTGAGTCCTGGTCTCTGGAAGGTACCTGTTGATCTTTGTAACTTTCTTATGTCCCGGGTTCCCTCTATGCTTGGATGCAGTCGTGGGGGGTGGGGCATATTAGAAGTGTTGCAGCTGGGCCTGTGGTTGAACCAGTCACTGGTTTTGTTTATTTGCTGAGCACTGTGAGCCTTGCAAGGCAGTGCCTTACTGGCTCACACGTCTTCTGGCCACTGCTGTCCAGTAACACCTTGAGTCCTAATTCTGTATGCTCCCCAGTTATGTAGGCTGCCAGTCCTCCCTCAAGGCCTCCAGGGTTCTTTGTGCCCACTCAGAGCAGCCTTTCCCTGAACAGTCTTTCTTATTTATTGCTTGGGGGAGTGTTAATGGGCCTATTTTTGATTCAGTCTAACTGGTCTTTTTTTCCCCCCTTTTATTTAGGGGTTTTGTGAACTTGCCGACCCAGCCTTAGTGACTAATGGCGGGAACAAATCTGGGTGGGTGAGAGGGTTGCAAGCTTTGCAGCTGGCCCAGTCACCAGATTTTCCTCCCTACCTCCCGGGCTCTATGTTCCCACTTGCACAGTCTTTTCCTACAGCTTGGATTCCACTCACCAAGCTGAATGTGCAGGAAGCCTCAGTCTGCGGCAGTAGAGCCTGGGTGCTCTTCCAACTGGAGGTGCAGGATTCCACTTATCCTGTCTGAGGCACTTCCTAGCAGGGCACCCGGACACTCCTGGGAGTGAGTTCCCCTATCGGAACCCCCCAATTGCTGATTCTTTCTCAGTTATCTTCCTTCTAGTGAGTCCAGGTTGTTCTCATTTGAGTTGAAACTTGTAGTATGTAAGTTTGTAGTCCGTTTTTAGTCCTATACTCCTGTGTGAGCCTGGATGCAGTGATCTTGGCATCTTTACTCTGCTGCCATCTTGCCCATCCTATATATATATATATATATATATATATATATATCAAAAATAAATATTTGTGAAAGGCATTCCTTATTAAAATGAGTTGCAAATGTTGTTTCCAGTATGAAATTAATGTAGTCTTATATAATGTTAAATTGAATGCTGTATTGTAGAAAAATCATCTTATTAAGTACTTGGCTTCAAAATGAATGTTTACTCAAAACTTCTATTATTCTTGTGATACGTACATTTAAGGAATAATGATTTGAATTAGGTGAAAAATCAACTAAAATGTACATCTGTTAGCATTACATTTTTGCATGTTACAGCTTTAGGAAATTTACCTCCTTTTGTAATAGAATATTAAGACAAATCAGGAACAAAGAACCTATATCCTGTTTTGAAGAGAAAACAAATATAGACATGATACACAGGTTTCTGCTGCTATTTAAATGTAGAATGTTCCTCATTAGTATGACTTGGTAGGTTATTTTTTGGAACTGAAACTGGGGATGTTATTACCAAAATTTATATGAAAAAAAAATTCCCAGTCCCAAGTAAATTGTAACCCATAGCATTACAAAATGGTATTATAGGCAAAGTTCTATTTCAGCTTAATAATTTGAGGAGAATATGTATGTAAGAATGTTTTTAATTCATACTGTTTAAAACTAAGAGAAGGCTTGGTGATGGGAAACCTGCGGGGATTACAATTGAGATGGAAAAAAAATGTACAAAATGATGTAAAAATAAACTGTTATTAAAAAAAAAGAAGAGAAGGACATGATATAGTAAATGTTTTTAAGTATCTAATTAAATATTTTAGAATATTTTCTAGGTGAGATATAATAGTAGTCAGGGAAATCTTGAGTTCTCTTTCAAAAATAAGTTTAATTTAAAATTTCTCAACTTTATATTTTGAGAGGTATATTACTTGCTTACTAACAGTTTGATCAATTAATTACATAGGTGAAGTTTAATGAGAATACTTGTAGGAATCTACTTTGTAGCCCTGAAATCTGTAAAATATAGGAGTTGTTGTCAACTACCCCATCAAAATCAGCTTTCTCCTTCACCTACTTCCTTTCTCTCCATAGCACTTATCACTATTATTAATAAACATGTCAAATTTATTTGTTGTGTTTCTTCACTAGAACATAAAATCTATTAGGTCAGGAACTGGAATTCTTGTTTATAAGAAGTTGTGAAGGTGGATTATACATAAGCCACAGAACTTTAAAGTATGGGTTCACTACACAAATAGAATTCTCTATAATTTGATTCTATACTTCTAATCTTTATGCCTCACTCAATTCTGCTTTATTCTGTTTTACTCATACCCCACTAACTATGCCCTTTATTTTCATCATAAGTAGCTGTTCAGATATTATTTCCTCTTCACAATAGCCCTTCTCCTCCATCCTATATCTAACTAGGCCCAAATTCTTTGTGGAATGACTGTTTGCATATACTGCATACATAATTATATTACATACATACATACATACATACATGCATAGTATACAATTTCCATTTTGGATGGGCTAGTACACATTGATATTAGGTTGATCCAATAGTCGATATATTTCATAATTTTGACCTATTAAGAGAAGATATTTTTAATTTATGCTGATATTTTAAAAGTAAGCCATAATATGTGTATCTACCTATCTACCTACCTACCATCCAGATTATAGGAAAAGCCATATTCTTGAAATCACTAATTGTCATTTCATGACTTGGAAATAACTAGGGCCCTCTTCATCTATAATGAGAATAATTTGTCCATATATCTAAATTTTCTTCTAGATTACTCCTGTTCCTGGTACTCACCCTCTTTTAGTTTTTGTGAACCCCAAAAGTGGTGGGAAACAAGGAGAACGGTATGTTTGTTTCTATGTTATATAAATATATTTAATTGCAATTATGGTATAAAACATTTAAGACAATATTTTTGTTAGAATTATATGCACATAAAATTGATATGGTCATTTATCTAGATAAAAATTGATTATAATAATGATCTTTTGTAAATACTTTTATTATCATGACTCAGGTACTTGAATTTTCTGTATTCTCCAAGTCTTTAACAAACATTTTGCATACAACATAGCTTCATAAATAATGTTGAATGAAAACTGGTTCTTTAAATGGTCAACTTCAGGTAAATTATGACCCGGTAATTAGAAATAGAATTCGGTTTCTAGACAAAATATATAATGATTTCGCATGTGCATTTTGGAGAACATGATGCTGTATTTCCTTGACTAGCACAGTGTATTTAATCTCAAAAATAATAAACACATCTTCAGGTATCTCAGTATGCTGGAGTATAACTCACAGTTTTATTTTATACTCAATTAATGATTTAAAATATTTAATAAAAATCTGAAATATAAATTTAATGTTCTTTTGAAAATAGTCATATGCAAAAGTACAGACATGCTATTAATAATTCCTAGAATTCTTTAATAATCCCAACCAAAAAAAGAGCAAATAGATAAAAATATTCATGTAAAGATTATGATAATAAACAGAAATTTTCCCTGAGGTCCAAATATTTTCACGAATAATGGAATTTTGTCATGCAATTTCTTTTCCGTTTAACATTCTTTATTTCAATGAAATGAGTAGACTTTTATTTCTAATAAACAAAATATTAGATCTGCTTAAGTTTTTTTATCTATTTTTTCCTTATTAAGCTTAATATAAATTATTTCCTATAACTATCAGTTTAATAACTTTAAATATCTATAATCCTTTATCAAAGAGAATAGATACTTCACTTTTAGAGCTATAAAATCATAATTAAATAATAATGCTAAAATTTTGTTTCCTTTACTACTCACAGTCTGTCAGGTGTCTATTATGGTATGGATATCTTGAAATATTGATTTCTAATTCACAAATAATTAGATAAGGTTTAAATGGCCAGAATTAAAGAAAATTTTAAAAAGTTTTTTAAAGAATAAGCATTTTTCTCAAATAAGATGCTTTAATCAAGTAGAATTACTTTTAATTGAATATCTACTCCTCTCCTAGTACATAAAAATAACTTTCATTAAATTAAAAATATATATAGAGGCCCTCCCTGGTGGTGCAGTGGGCTAAAGCACTGTACTAAGAATCAAAAGCTACTTCCGCATGAGTTCGATCCCCGCCTGCCCTGGAGGAGATCCACATGGCGTGGCAGACCTCTCCT